TGGATTCAGACGAGCTGTCCTACATACCGATATGTCCCTTATGTGTCCTATAAAAAGGCCATTATGTCTTTTGTCTCATCCAAATCATCCGCATACCCTCCTTCGTACAAGTGGCCAAATCACCGGCGGGTCTAGTTGTTTTTCATGCGGTAGAGGAAAATCATGGGATATAGACCAATTCTATTTCTATTGCACCACATGCAAGGTGGTGTTCCACAGTGGTTTTCACAAGTTTCCAAGGAAGGAAATACATCCTTATCACCTCCACCATCCTCTTACTTTCACCTTTCGGAACTATGAAACCGGTGTCATATCCGACGGCAATATAGATGAATCATTTTGGAATATGGTTTTGCCCGAGTCCAATTCATCTGACCCTTTTGGATTAGTCCAAGCTAGCCGGTCTCAATCCGATACCGTATTCGATAAATGCACATGGTGTGCGGAAAATATCCAGGGCAATTGGTTCTATCGTTGTTCGATATGTAACTTTTGTTTGGATCTCTCTTGCTTCCAAAATATCTTACTTCTCATCGTCCAAAATCCAAAGAGTCATCATCATTCACTCGTCTTCTACCCACGTCCACTCTTGACTCCATGTGATGCTTGTGGGTTGGTTAATGTGTTGGATCCAAGCTATGCTTGTTTTCAATGTGATTATATGGTCCATAGAAGCTGCATCAACCTACCAAGAGTCATAAAGATCACGCGTCACCAACATCGTCTTTTTCATACTCCTTACCTTCATCCCATAGCTTCACCATGTAGGGTATGCTACAAGACACTTGACATCAAGTATGGTCTATATTCTTGCAACCACGGAGATTGCTCTTATGTAGTTCATTCGAAATGTGCAACGCATGAGAACGTATGGGATGGGAAAGAACTCGAGTGGAAACCCGAAAAGCCTAATGAAACTGAAGATATTGCGCCTTTTAAGAAGGTAATTGGTAGTGATCTGATAAAGCATTTCTCTCATAAACATCTTCTAAAGCTCGAGAAATATGATGGTCTTAGACAGTGGCGGATCCAGAAGAAAAATTCATTGGGGGCAAATGTATACCAAACGTAAAAAATATACAATATCATCTAAATAATATAGAACGAAAAAATAGTTACAAAATTAACAGTTATTAGTCGTGGTTTATAATGTTTAGTTAC